CGTTCGAATTGAGTTACTTGTAATTACAAGCTTGATTTACACTTTTCTTGTGGTGTTTTTCGTCAATGTATTAAATATAAGTGCGTTGGGAAATAGCATAATTATATTGCGTCAGTGAAAGAGGCTGGTGAGACTGTCACAACGCGTTCTATTTATTACCAACGCGCGTGGTCGGTCCCTCTTATTGCGGTTATTTTGTATTTTTATTTTCGAAATGTGTCACTGGCTGCGTTTTTTTTTATACGTCTCGCAATTGAACGTCCAAGCTGACTTTGTTTTAGCTGTAATGCCAGGCAGGTAAATTTTTTTTTTCTTTTCGGAAAACACCTCCATCCAGCCACCTTTCATCGCATGTGAGGTCATGACAGTCAACTCACTGAACTCCGTTGTGTCGTCACCGGAAGCGCTGTCCCGGTGTAGAAGACGCCGAACTGCAGCGTCAATGACTGAACTCTTGAAGTACACAAAACGTGATTGGTCATTTTTCGACATGATTGGTTGCGACCCGGAAGTAGTTCACTCTCGCTCAACTTTCCTGGTAAACGTCTTGTCGGGTAAGTATTACATTCACGTTTTATGTTCACATTTCGTAGACTTTGAATAGAGTACATAGCATGGATACATACTATGATTAATAATGAACTTTTAGAAATATTTTTGGGCAGTATTTTTTGTAGAGGATCGGCAAATTTGTCACGGTCAAGCTATGATATACTAGTACTCACGTCACGATGAAATTTTGTAACGTTAATGTCATTTCGCCCCATGAATTTTAACAGTTTGAGTACTCATTTTTTTCCAATGACAACTACTCTTTATTATTTTGTTAGGTGGCTATTGAATCGATGATGGGATTTTGCTGTGTCCCCGGGTGTACAAACAAGTCAAAACCTCGAAAGGGAAACACTTGTGGCGATAATGTTTCATTTTATACGATTCCAAGGAAACCCATTGGAAGGTACAAGACATTTCTTCATGCTATACAGAGAAGAAGACAACTGGAGGCCTTCTCAGCATTCTCGTATTTGTAGCAGACATTTTGAGAATGGGAAGAAACTTGACATTCCAGAATCAAAAAGCTATGTGCCAACATTGGAGCTGCCAAAGAAATCATTTCAGACTGCTAGACGTAAAATTGTTTACAGGGGAAAGATAGTAAGTAGTAATATTTTGACAGCTTGTTTGTCACGATTCAGTTCTTTGCCTATTTTCCATGGCACTGACAGGTGGAAGTATTTACCGGATTTTTAATTTAATACACTAACAACTTTAGGGTAGGTTTACAGGATGTCTTGATCATTTTTATGTCAACCTGAACAATGATTTCACAGCTTGCCCTATTATTTCTGAAGTGGTGTTCACACCTTCACACAGCTTTAAAAAACACTAAAATGAACCCATGACAATGCTTTTCCCATGTACAGACAGCAAATCTGGCCCAAAGAGGTGCTGGTCAGTTATAGTAGTTATTGCACGTTTTCTCTCTAATTAAATATTTTCTGCAAATGCGATTAGACCAGACCAGATATAAAATGCACAAAAACAGAAAGTGTTTTCTTCTTTCTGTTATATTTTTTAATCTTTTTTAGTACAATGTTGAACCATGAATAAAAACATAATATATTTCATATGTTTTAGGGAAAACAAAACAGTTTATTATTGGCGATGTTGGCAGCAGAACCTGATCTTGATGCTTTCAAAGATGAAGAGTCTAAAGTTCACATTTCAGAACAGGTAATAACATTTTTACATCAAGGTATACAAAGTGAAAATGTGGACATAGTAGAACTTGCCAAGCTTTCAAGTGACCCCTTCCCTTTGTGTGCAATATTTTGGCAGACCTTCATAGATTTACTACGAGTGTCATTGAATAAATAATTCAATTGTATTTTATTTTATTTTATAGACACCTAAGAGTTTTACTGTGGACACGGGAACCCAGTATGATGTCTCTGATATACCTGTCAGCACTGTACCACCAACTGAACATGACTACTGTTTTCCTGTAACGAAACCTGCAGAATATATGGACATTGATTCTTTGAAATCATACACAAAATCTTTAGTGGAGAAGCTTGAAAAACAGACTGATAAACTAACTGATTTGAAAGCTAGAATTGCAAATCTGACAGCAGAGGTAGAGTCGTATCGCAGTAGGGAATTTACTCTTGATAGTATTAAGAATGATGACAAAGCTGTTAACTTGTACACAGGTTTTCAATCGTATAATGCACTGATTGCTTTTTATAAGTTCCTTGAGAGTAAGGCTGAAAATTTACAGTACTGGAGAAATTCAAAAACTACGTCAGAACCCACAGTATTATCAGACTTTGGGCAGAGGGAAACCAGGTCGTAAACGTACCTCTTGTACTTTAAATGAATTGTTTATGGTACTGGTTAGACTAAAAGTAGGCTTATTTGTTGAAGATATCTCCAATAGATTTAATATTAGTTGCAGTACATTTTCAAGAATTTTTACTACATGGATATTTTTTTTTGTATTATGAACTAAAACTACTTTTTCCATTCCCAACTCAGTCTCAGATTCGAAATACCATGCCAGCAGAATTTGTGCAGTATCCAACCACGCGAATTATTATTGACTGTACAGAGTTATTTGTTGAAGTGCCCACATCTTTATTAGCGCAAAGCCAGACGTGGTCTAATTACAAACACCACAATACATTTAAGGCTCTGGTGGGTATTTCTCCAAATGGCGCAGTAACTTTCTTTTCTGATTTGTACGGGGGTAGGATATCTGATAAAGAAATTACAAAGAAGTCTGGTCTGTGTGAGATATTGGAGTCTGGCGACAATGTAATGGCCGATAGGGGATTTGAAATTAAAGGTATTCTCCCTGCAGGGGTGGATTTAAACATTCCTCCATTTAAAGGCACCAGAGCACAGCTGACTGCTAGGGAAGTCCAAGATACCATGGATATTGCATCTGTGCGTATTCATGTAGAACGTGCTATAGGCCGAATTAAAAATTATCATATATTGGATGGGGTCATCCCTTTAACTTTAGCCAAGGTCACTAACCAGATTTTTACAGTTTGTTCATATCTCACAAATTTTCATTCACAACTTTTAGTGCCAAAAACATGGAAAACTGTTTAATTGCTTTTATACAATAAAATGTCAAATATATTGTGTATTTTTATTACACTTGGTTTGTGTTAAGCTTTCAAATACCATAATAACGCTATTAATTAGCCAGGGTAATGTCTTGCATCGGAACTTTGTACTTCAATTTTCATTACAAAATTACCAAATGGCACGATCTTAACTGTCTTATGAGGTATACCATTAACTTGATCTGATCGAGTAAAGGAATAATAGCCTGTCAATCTACGGTAGTTGGTGTGAATAAAGACCAATATCATTAAGAAATGGCTGTCTAAATAATAGAGTTATTATCGTAACTTTTAATAATAGAAGCTCCACATCTTAGTTGTGGATTTTTTGAGGCAAGACACCAGGTCTGTGTTATCAGCAATTTTCTTTATTTACAAGTGTGTAAACGTAAATGAAGCACTTATATTGATGACATGTAAATAATTCCATTCAGAATATCAATGTAAATAATAAACTTAAATGACAATGTAAATAAGTTTTAATATGATGTTACCATCAGAAAAATATGTATGAAAGTAAATCAAATAAACAAAGCTCCCATATCGCTCACAAATAAATATTGACTTAAAAAAAATTGTGTAAATAATGTCAATGTAAATAAATATGTTTTGATATGACATTGAAAAAAAATTCTACATACAGATGAAAAATTCCAAGCCATCTTCCTCTCCCTCAAGTAAAAATTTAGAACAAATTAAGTCAGCACTTGATGGCATATATATACTGTACATAACATGTTTTGACTGCAAACACTTTCTTGCCAATATAATTAATTTTACAGTAGACTTACTTTCTATATGGCTTCCAACCCCCATGGCGATATAGTTTTATCCCTCTTTTCACTCGACTGGTTAATATTTCTGGAAGGAAAGCCCTAAAATAGAAATGATTAAGGGCTGGCAGAAAATAACTGTACCACAAGTCCTCATTGAACTTTATTCTTTGAACAAATATATTACAGCCCTCACCAAACCATACTACAAAGTCTACCCACTGTAAACCAGCTGCATACATTTGTCCTTGTACTTGTATATAATAATTATGGGATCTCTTCAACATGATTACACCATTGTTGAGACTCAGAAAAGAGTTCTTTTCTTTGGCAGCATCCTCAGGTGACATATTCAGGAATGAGGGGGGACATTTTACTTCCAGGCCTCCTACAGTGTGGACAGCCTCAGTTGGATCTGTAACCATCCTGTCCAGACTTGCCCCATAATCTGTATTGTGTCTACAAATTGTGAATCCTACCTCTTGCACTTGTAATTCAGGACTACCATTTTCATGCTTGTATGAGAGGTACGCATTAACACCATCTGCCACATGCTTTCGACCATATTCAGTTGCATATGTTGAAAAGCTTGGTCTGTACAACAGTGAATGCAGAAGCTTGTCAGGCTCACATCTTCTTTTGACAAATTTTCCAAAATTTGACGCAGTCATTTTCATCCGTCTGATATTTTGCCAGGCGATGTTTCCTGCTTGACCACGTGTTTGTTTTTCTATTGCTTTAATATTGTCTTCTGACAAAGATTTTGCATTCCTTGATGCCACAAACTTAACAATTTCATGAAAGTGTGAAGTGTTAATGTTATACTCGTCACTGAATGGCAGAGCACTATTGGATGGTACACTATCTTGTGATTCGGTATTAAAATTCACAATATTCTCTGTTGGCAACTCGTACCCTTGGTCTTCAATGATGTCCGATGCCTTAACAGCCTGTTTAGCCTTTCCATGTAATGGCTGGACATCATGGAATAAAAAAAGTGATGATTGTCCGACTGATTCTTGAAAACTTTGACAAAGTACCTGAACATTTTCACCATCAGTGTGTCTTTGGTGTGGTGCTCTGGGGTCATATAGATTGATGGATGGTTTCTTGTTATAGTCTTGACTGTATTGGTATTTTCTTATTGTCAAATCATGTAGTGGGGCACTTGTAGTCTGCAGGGTTCTTGGCTTAGTCCACTGGCATAGGGTACTTGTACATGAAACTGGGTCTTCGTTTTCATGTAATCCTTTACGGCAAAAGTCTTCCAATGCAAATAGCAGTGCCGTAACATGGTTACACTTACCAAGTGCATTGATACCTTTACTGCAATAAATAATAATATAATTATTATTAACTTCAATAATATATGTCAACAACGTTATGCAAGTTTAAATCTTTAAATTTTTGTTCACAGGAACATAATATATTTCCCATAAAAATATATCAATATACCCTAGAAATAAATCATAATTCCCAAAACAGTTGCAACATAATACGTGACGTCTATATAATTTATTGAAATGAAATTATTTTTAACTGCACCCAATACCAATAAAGTATAATTTTTTGAGTGTGAGACATGGTAAGTGCCTCTTGTCTAGATTTGTTTTGATTCGAAGTCGACCGGGCACTTGAAAAATATATAGCAAAAAAAAAAATTAAAAGTACATTTCTGTAACTAAACTTGAACATAAACACCTA